AGTGAGAGCAGGAACACAAGCAGGGGGAGCGGGAGAGCGAGAAGCAGGCCTCCCGCCGAGCAGGGAGCCCGATGCGGGACTCGATCCCAGGACCCCGGGATCACGACCCGAGCCGAAGGCAGACGCTTAACGACTGAGCCACCCAGGCGCCCCCATTCAGTTTCTTATTTTAAGAAAACTTTGTGTTACGTATCACCTTGGCCGTCCTCTCAGAGTAGCCCGTCGCGTGGGCACTGCTTGAGTGTGAGAAGAAACTGCTCGCCATATGCGTATGGAAGTCTGTGAAGCTTCCAGCGGAGCTCCAGACAAAATACGCCCGGGTCGAACGCGTCCGCCACGTCCTGTGGCTTCCTGGGAAGGGATGCGGAGCCAGGTAACTCTGCGCCGGTTTTCACTGGCTTCTCTTTCACCTCAGACCTTGATGAGTGTCAGACCAAACGGCACAATTGCCAGTTCCTGTGTGTCAACACGCTGGGAGGCTTTACCTGTAGATGCCCGCCGGGTTTCACACAGCACCACACGGCCTGCGTCGGTACGACTCGACTCCGCGGGGGCGGCTCTGCTGATTGTGGGTCGATGCGTAAGGAGTGTACTTAACAATGGCAGAGTATTCAGTGGCTCCGTACTTACACTTAGAACCAGTGTGTCGCAATTCCTGGTTGGGAAGTGTCGCTAATAATGTGTCTTTTCACAAGAACGGTATCCACGGGAAAAAATAAATAAGGTCCAAGCTTGCTTAAGGTCCAAGCACGTGCACAGTAGGTGTATTCCGAACAGGACCTTTAGGTTGCATTCTAAACATAACCACGTCCGTTCAGACTGAATATGAATAAAGGCTCATTGTGATTTAGAACATGCTAAGGGACATGGTGGGTTATTTTTATGTTAGAAGACACACGTGTGTGTTGAGAGTTTCAGTCTGCATTATCAAAAGCCATGTACTCAGTTGACCCAAGGTATGCTTTAATTTCACCTCTCTTGAAATACCCCTTTTCTTGCCACTTTTGCCTCTGACCTGACAGTGAATGCTGGCATGCGTTTCCCCCAAGTTTTCACATCTTAAACTTAGGCTTTCATGCCTCACTTTTCACTTCGTGTAGTGAAATCTGAGTCATGTAATGACTGGGAAGCTTGACACCCCTCCTTCTTGCTTTGCTAGACAACAATGAATGTGGGTCCCAGCCTTCACTCTGTGGAGCAAAAGGAATCTGTCAGAACACGCCTGGAAGTTTCAGCTGCGAATGCCAAAGAGGGTTCTCTCTCGATGCCACTGGACTAAACTGTGAAGGTGAGTTTATTTGCTAAAAAATCCTTAATCTAATACAGCGAACTATTTTAGCTTCCAGGCCACTAAATAGAGAAATGAGATCATCTCAAAAGGAAAAAAGTGTTTAACAACATAGAACTCGGCGGATGATTTTCGTTCATACATTTTCACATACCATTTTGGGGGCAGAGGAAGACTTTAATGTGACAGAACAAAAATTCTAAATGAATTGGTTTTTAAAGTAACTGGAGTCTTTACCTAATTACTGAACTAAAAACAAAAAAGACGACTGAAAAGGAATTCTGTAACTAATATGGTATACAGTAGTGTACAAATATGTATCAGAAAAAAATGGATTTTTGTTCCATGATAACTAAATGTGTGAAAGTTAAGTGTAAGAAAAGAAACAATTATCAAAGAGAATTGTAAAATATATGAAAAGCACTGGGGAAAGTGATGGCTATTTCCATTTTATTTTTCTGAAACTCCTCTTATTCTCTCTTCTGTAAAATGGGCATTTTCTATCAAGCCACCTGCCCCCCCACAATAGGTATTTCCTGTGAAGTCCAAAGAAACATTTAACTGGGAATCAAATAAGAATCTGTCTCTACTCAACAAAATATTATACTGCTCTCCAGTATTTCCACCGCAAGGGCTAATGTAGTAGAATTGGTATCTTTTACAAAACACACATGCCAGAAATTATAAGATGGTATACATCCCCTTATATTTGTATAAACTCTTGCAGTTTAAGTCTTTATTGATTTTAGTCCCCCTTTGTTATTCTTAGAAATGTATGGTTCTGGATTCTAGAAATATATTCAGAGTTTTTAATATACTCTTTATAAGAAGTATAAGACATACAGAAATCTAATTTGTAGCCAGGAAAAATTCAGTTTTGAAGATTTCCATTTTAACATTTTATATTTGAAGTCACTGAAACTTTTAAAGTATTCTGTATATACAGCTGCTTGCCACGTGTAAGTTCAGCCTGTGATCATCCGCATAAGATACCATTTATTAATTAGGCATATAAGTTTGTTATACACACATCAAACATGCCAATTTTATTTCACTCTCTATGGGTCGATTTCAAGCCTCAGTTGTCATTCCAAAAGAGTATGCATGTACGGACCAGGAAGTTATTCCATGTGTTGTAATAATACCACATCATATCTAAAAATAACATATACTTAAATTTTGCATCCAATTAATGTCAAATGGTAATAAAAACTTCTGCGTGCAAAACAATTATACTTTTCAGGTATCTCTGTAGCGCTTGTATCCTCCCAAACATGAGGATTTTATTTTTTTAAGATTTATTTATTTATTTATTTATTTATTTATTTTAGAGAGAGCGCATGAGCGGGAGCGTCGCCTCTTGGTTTTGGCTTAGCTTGCGATCTCAGGGTTGTGAGATGGAGCCCCACGTCAGGCTCCATGCTCAGCGGGAAGTCTGCTTGAGATTCCGTCGTCTTCGGTCCCTCCTACTCATGCTCACTCTCTCTCTCTAAAATAAGTAAATAAATCTTAAAAAAAAAAAAAAAAAAAAAATCGGGCGCCTGGGTGGCTCAGTTGGTTAAGCGACTGCTTTCGGCTCAGGTCATGATCCTGGAGTCCCTGGATCGAGTCCCGCATCGGGCTCCCTGCTCGGCAGGGAGTCTGCTTCTCCCTCTGACCCTCCCCCCTCTCATGTGCTCTCTCTCTCAAATAAATAAATAAAATCTTTAAAAAAAAAAAAAATAGCATAAGGTGGGTCCTCAGAACCATTCTTTGTCTCGCTGCTAATAACCCCGTGACTTGGGAGAAGTCACAGCCTCTCTGTCTTTTTTGTTAGTTCCCCTGAGAATAGTTCACCCAGGTTGCGTTTGGAGTGCGTTTAAGGACAGTAGAGGAAAGGGTGCATCAGTATCATGCCGGGATTGTTTTTGCAGACGTGGATGAATGTGATGGAAACCACAGGTGTCAACACGGCTGTCAGAACATCCTGGGAGGCTACAGGTGCGGCTGCCCCCAGGGGTATATTCAGCACTACCAGTGGAATCAATGTGTCGGTGAGTCCGCGCTTGTTACATAGCAGCAAAGTAGCTTTGCGAAACGTGGACAAATGAGAAAGGCTGATGTTTCGGTGTGGGCTTTGAAGCCCAGCACTTGAACACCAGTCCTTTGGACGGGCGCATGGGGTTCCTGACACTAGTCTACTTGTGTATGTTTGAAAATACCCGGAACAAAAATGTTGTTTTAAGTACCCAGAAGGTAACTCAACTCGAGCGTTTGTAATTTTAACTTTCTACTAGATGTTAAGTTAAACTTTCTGAAGACGGTGTCAAGATGCATCGTCTTCCTTTGCCAAGGTCAGGGGCTTTTCATCATTACTTTCTTAACTTTAGATTTGGGGTTGAAGAATTGCCCATCCATCTCCCTCGTATAAATCTAAATGAATTCAGATCAGCTTAATAAGGACCGTCCATCTGTGCTTTCCAGTTACATAGATTTAATGAAGAAGAAGGTTAAGTATTTGAAGGTAGAAGAAGTACCTAGTTACAGGTAATTCGGTTGAGTTGAATTTGTCTCCAGACAAAAGTGTTTGTAAAATAAATAAAGTCTGTAGGCCCTCAGCCCTGGTTCCTGGCATTGATAATAGTCAATGGAAACTCTCCTTTTAAGGAGAGACTGATCAAAGAGAACATTATTCTGTGCTTGAATAGCCAGCTGATTTACTTAACAGAGGCCTAATTTCTTGGCTCCATCTGAATGCACTTCATGGACGTGCCATCCAACACGTTGTGACATCAGATGCCCACACGGCTGAGCCTGAAGGGGGGGCAGTGGTCCTGCGGGGAGCCAGCAAGGGATTTCCTGTACCTCTGCAGTGATTTCAGTTACCCCACGTGTTTCCCAAATATTTCACTGTGAGCATCCACTCGATAAATTAATCTGATTTTATCCTTTGTGGTCTCCTCAAAAGAAATCTCTAATGACAGTTTAGTGAATTGAGAAGAGAAAATCAAGATGAATGTCAGAGGGAAGCCAACTTGGTAAAAGTCACAGAGATGCTGTGGTCTTGTGCGAGGCCAAAGAGATGCTCTGTCAGCCCACGAAGAGACGCTCTTGTGCAGGGAAATGCAGAAACCGTTCGTGATGTAGAAGTTATGGACAGAGTTACCTAGGATTATCAAAACGATGAGTTAGGCAGGCAGTCAAAATGATTTCATAAGTTTACTTCTTTTTCTCTACACACACACACACACACGTGCGCGTGCACGCGTTGCCCAAGTCCTTATGCCCTGACTGATTTATAAACAAGGCAAGGTACAGGCGTGCTCTTCAGAATATAGAGAACAGTACGTTTGTAGAGCTGTTAAAACAGTTTAAAATAATTCTGTTGCTTTGTTTACTAAATCAAGTGGAGGGTCTCATATTTTACAAATAACATGGACTTCTTGGTTAATTAGGTGGATCTTAAGGCAAAAGAATGATCTTCTAATATTTCATAGGTGGCAGCTTATTAAATAGAATTCTCATTTTTAAATTGATCCTAAGTATAAATAAGAGCACATATCATCTCACATTTCAAGTTTTTTAAGTCTTCTGAAGCTTCTGCCTGTAAACATCTAGTGCAAAAATATCTGTATAGTTTTTCACTAAATTGGTCTGACTTTAAAGTCAAGGCTATATGGTACATCCTAGTTCCCCTTTGGGGGATTCTCAGAGGGGGCACAGTCACCCCACAGCAGCTCACCCAGTGTAACAGCCGGGATTTATTTGGAAAGGTTCTGGATTCGTCCGTGCAGGGTTGAGGAATCTAGCTGGTCCCTACTTTAATTGCTGACTTCCTTGCTTTGAATCCACATAATTCCAGTTGGAATTCTAACCCAAATACATGACAGGGATAGAATTAAACAAACCATCAGGAACTAGTAAGAGCAACAAGTTATCAAAAGAATAGGAATTATGACAAAAGTGCACATTGAAAGGCCACAAATTATTTTTATCTGTTACTGCGTGTGTATCATTGGTCATTTCATATGATCAAGGGGGGAAATGCAAAATGAACTATTTCAGATTTATCTGGATTCTCTTAGTAAATGGACAAAACTGTTCAGAGTCAATGCATCAGATAATTTAAGTAATATTAAATGATTAGTGCTACTGCATTTTTGAAATGTGGACTTTTAACATTACTAATACTACTGCCAACTTAAGGAAAATGACAGTTTTTTTGTGTTAATACTGAGAAAGGGTTTTTGAAATTCAAATGAATACTTGAAGATATTTCCAGCCACTTGTCAGAAAACATCTGTATAACATTCTGGTACATAGACTCTACAGTTTCTCCGGTGTTTACAAGCATTATAATTATTCAAAATCGAAAATAATTGAGTATTAACCTTTGATTATAAAGAAAAATTATGTATCAGTGAAGTTTTTGGTTATGGAGTGTTCACTAACTTCCAGTTGCTTCTGTGCTCACTTCAAAATAATTTGAACACAGCTTTGTGATGCATGAGTCAGCTCCACATGAACGTATTTTCAAAGTGAGATGACCTGAGTCCATAAAAATACACCACAATGTACATTTGTGACATACAAATATATGAAGTATATCATGGTGCTTACAAAAACATTACATATTTTTAAATGTTCTTGTCAGTAGTATGTAAATACCACTTAATTAATTGGTTTTGCCCGATGATTTTCCCAACTAACACAATGTCTAATACTATATTCATAGCAGGATTGTTTTGTTAAGTTATAACCTAATCTACATTCTCTGTTACGGGAGAAATACTGATATAAAGGTCAGAGTTAATGATGAGAGCAGAGAAGAAGCCTCTGTGGCAGAATGCCAAGTCTTTTGTGTTTAGAAATAAAATGAAGACTGAGAACTTGGACCTGTTGGGTAATCATCACAGGTTTTATATCCAGAATTCTCTGTTCGTTGGCCTGACTTAATTCTGAAACTATCATCATGACACAAAAGTTGCCTCATAGTATCTGCCCTTTCAGTAGTAACCTGTGTGCCGAACTTAATGAAGTCAGGTTTCCTGTCTGGGAGGCCTCGGCAACACGGGGACCCCACCTGCATCCTCTGTAAGCTCACGGAGCTGCTGCAGATACGCACTCGCCTCTCGCTGTCATGTCACCTCCTTACACACGGGCCACTTGCCCACGTGGGCTGAAACATAAACTTGTCACAGATTAGGTCAGCAGACACACTGTGTTCCAGGGGAGTCGCAGGGATCAGGAAGAATTCCACGGAACAGATGTGACTTGTGCCCAGGGTGAAATGTGGATTACGATAAAGCCCAAAGGAGCCAAGCCACGTGCTCTGTATCGACCAGACAGCTGAAAGCAAAATTCTTATCTCCAAAGTTAAAAGCACAATCCGGCTTTGATTTGGTAAAAATAAGAGCAACTGAAAGTATAACCTATAATTATCCTGCAGTCAGGAATTTACAGTGTAAGGTTAGTTATTAAACAAGTAAAACCTATATCAGCTGATGGCCGGATGCAAACCTCTCTCAGAAGACACGGTCTGCACCTAATGGGTTCTCAAGTAGTTAAAAGCATACTAGATTTTTGGTTCAGTAGATCCAGTTAAATAATGTTTCTTTCAATTATTTTAAATCCGATCATTTAAATGTTTATATGTATTTCCGAGCCCCCCCATATAGAATGAATTTGGGAATTGCTGGGAGAATATACGTGTACCCAGATACAGTGTTTTGTTTTGTTTTAAATTGGGACGGAATTCACATACCCCAAAATTCATGATTTCCAAATGCGTACAGTTCAGTGGTGTTTAGTATATTCTCACCAGAGTTTGCAACCTTCACCACCACATTTTCATTGCTCCAGAAAGAAACTCCGTACCCATGAGCAGACATCTCCATTTCTCCCTCCCTGCAGCCCCTGGAAACTAGTAATCTACTTTCTAGCTCCATGGATCTGAGATTCAGGCTTTTGAAGTCATCTTTGGTTCAGAGAATAAAAGAGTTATTCAGTAGACGGACTGCAAGTGTCTGTCCCCAAGGGCTGCCATCGTATTGAGAAACAGCACAAACAGAAGATATAAAGGGGTAGGGCACGGCTTTTTTAAAGCCGTAATTTAGGCAGATTTGTTGGGTTTTGGTATTTTGGTGTTTCGGTTTCGTTTCTGTTTTTTGTTCTTGTTTTTGTTTTTTTTTTACTTTTATATGCTTTTGCCAATCAGCCATCAGAGTAAACCTATAATGGTTTCAGAAGTATTTCCCTATAAAACCGTCAAGACTTTGAGACTCGGCCTCTTCCCCTCACCGCCCCCTTCCCCGCACGTAAGAGTTTCTTCCTTTGCCCTCCTAGACGAGAACGAATGCTCCAACCCCAACGCCTGTGGCTCGGCTTCCTGCTACAACACCCTGGGGGGTTACAAGTGCGTCTGCCCCTCGGGATTCTCCTTCGACCAGTTCTCCAGTGCCTGCCACGACGTCAACGAGTGCTCGTCCTCCAAGAACCCATGCAATTACGGCTGCTCCAACACGGAAGGGGGCTACCTCTGCGGCTGCCCGCCGGGGTACTACCGAGTGGGACAGGGGTAAGGCCGCCACTGCGCTCGGGGAGAGTGAACGGTGACGGAAAGCCCAGGAGGCCGAAGCGCAGCTCAGAGGACTTAGGGTGTGGGCAGAAGCGCCGCCAGGAGGGGACATGGGTTAGGTCCGCGCGGCAGGATCGCCTCCTCCGTGGTGACCGTAAGACCCCCTTTTGTACAGGTAGCGCTCGCCGGCCCCTCAGAAGGGCCTCCGTGGATTCAGTCGATCCCTCAAGGCCAGAGGCAGGCCGATGTTTAAAACTGCGGCTCCCTTGTTGTCACTGACAGCCGGCTTATAAAGTACAAGTACAAATGGCTGCGCCCGGATTTTTCTATGAATTTCGGCAAGTGCTTGCCCAGTGGTCCCCCAGGAAGGAGTCTGTCGCTGCCCCTGCCCATCTGGTTTATACGGCACAGAGAGGATGTGCCCGGGCCCTGTGGCGCCGTCCCCCCCCCCGGGCCGGCTCCGGCCAGCTAGCGGCCTGCGTCCCGCCACCCAGAAGACGGGGACCGACGAGTCAGGCAGGGTCACCTCCCCGCGGACGAGCAGTGCGTGAGTCAGGCATTGAGGCGTGGGGACTAATCTGTCTACCACGGCTGCCTAATCATGCTCGAAACCAAAGCCTTGGTCCAGACCAGCGTCCTTTCGAGCCAGCTCAGGGACTCTCACTATCCGTAACGGGAGCTCAGAAGTCTCAGCTGTAACAGCAGCGAGCTTTCGCAAGAGCATAAGCGCGGGCTTCGGGCTTTTTAGAAAGCAACGGAAATTCTCTCAACAGTCTCTTTTGAAATTCGTAATTTGCTCTTTCTTTACCTTCTTGGTTTAACTACACCTGAGTGCTTCAGTCTAATTAGGATTGAAAACTGGAGAAGCCTGGAGCTCACAAGAATTTTGATGTTCAGAATGAGCAAGAACCTCTTGCATTAAGTGTTGAAGGAAAGAGTTACCAAGAGTATTAGGTTTTCCTGTTTGCGAGCTTAGAGTTTACTTTGTTGGTTTCTTGTCTCTGAAAAGTCTCCACTCTACCACTGGAAAACTATGGACACGGTTATTGGTGAAATCTAACCATGCCTTGCTTCTCATTGCCAACAGCCACTGTGTCTCAGGAATGGGATTTAACAAAGGGCAGTACCTGTCCCTGGATGCAGAGGTTGACGAGGAAAATGCTCTGTCCCCGGAAGCATGCTATGAGTGTAAAATCAACGGCTACTCTAAGAAAGACGGCAGACAGAAGAGAAGTGTTGGGGAACCCGAACCCACTGCCGTGAGTAAACCTCGCTCTGTCCTGTCACAAGATTTTATCCGTAAGCAGGAACACATACTATGCAGTCAACTTTTATATAGGTTTCAGCCTCAGTGAAGTTAAAGTTTTCTTGTAATGTTATAACTAAATTCACAGACACAATATGGCAGACACACGTTAGTGGCATCATTAGCTCAGAACACAAGGACTAGGGGGAAAAACACTTTAAGATTCACAGTTTCAGGGACACTTGGGTGGCTCAGATGGTTGAGCGTCTGCCTCCGGCTCAGGTCATGATCCCAGAGTCCTGGGTTCAAGCCCCGCGTTGGGCTCCCTGCTCAGTGCAGAGCCCGCTTCTCCCTCTCCCACTGCCATTCCCTCCGCTTGTAATCTCTGGCTCTCTCTCTCTGTCAAATAAATAAAATCTTAAAAAATAATAAAATTTTAAAAAATGATCATTGGTTTAAAAAGAAAAAAAAAAAAAGATTCACAGTTTCGGATCCGACGCTTTTGTCTTTGATTTGTGCCAGAGGAAAAAAGGTATCCATCTAGGAAATAGTGGTTTTGAAATGATTTAAAAAACAAATTATTTTGAATTTGTCCAGTTCTGTTTTATACAACTGTAGTACACTAGGCTGATTTTTTCAGTAGATAAGTCTCCTGTTCTGTGACATGCATAAGTGTTCCTTCCATAAAAAAATGTTATCTCCAGGTAAAGCATATCGAAAGGAACTGAGATCTGATGTGCCTGCTGGTGGTTCTGTGCTGTTGATGGCATTTAACTGAGTAGTTTAAAGGAAGGACCATGACTGTGTGGTTCTGAATGTTCCCTGACCCTCCCCACTTATTACCCATGTCACATGGGGCATGTTCACTTAACGTCTCTCTACCTCAGTTTCTTCACCTGTAAAATGGGGATAAAAATGCCTGGGTGGCTCAGTTGGTTAAGTGTCTGACTCTTCATTGTAGCTCCAGGTTGTGAGTTTAAGCCCAGTTGGGCTTCCTGCTGGGCCTACTTTAAAAACAAAAAACAAAAAAACTTGGGCTGACAAGAAGATTGAGTTGACACTGTGAAGTGCCTGGAGCAGTGCCTGACCTATTAGTAAATGTCACCAAGTAATACCTGGTATCCAGAGATGTTGGTGATTTTCCCAAAGATCAGGGATAGCACCACCCTCTTCATTTAACATTATTGTAAAATTCCCCTACCAAAAAAACCCCTAGGCAACAACTAACTGGCTGTGTGAGTTGGGTGACTTGCTTCAGTTTTCTGGGCCTCTGAAACTTTCCTGATCTGTAAGGCTAGATTTCTCTAGTGAAAATGTCTATGGTTCTATTTTATAATAATAAACAGGCCAGTATTAGATTTACCTTAAGTTGACTGAGGTACTAACTGATATTTAAATATGGCAATTGAGATATCCATCAAGTACCTCTGACTACATCCAGAAATTTTGCTTATGAAACCTTCCCACCGTGATCCTGGGGACAGGATTATGTCTGAGCCTGTGATGGGCACTTTTTTTTTTTAAGATTTTATTTATCTATTTATCTGTGAAAGAGAGAGAGTGTGCTCGCACAAGTGGGTGGAGGGGCAGAGGGCAAGGGAGAGACAGAATTTCAAGCAACTCCACGCCGAGCATGGAGCCCAATGCAGGGCTCAATCTCACAACCTGAACCGAAATTAAGAGACACTTAACCAACTGAGCCACCCCGGCGCCCCGTGATGGGCACTTACGTGGCAGCAGAGCCAAGTTCGTAATTAAGGCATCCACTCAAAGCTTTGGATTTTTGCCTGTCTTACAAATAGCATTCTAGGGGCACCTGGGTGGTACAGTCAGTTAAGCAACTGACTCTTGGTTCCAGCTTGGGTCATGATCTCAGGGTCCTGGGATGGAGCCCCACATCCATCTCTGTGCTCAGCATGGAGTCTGCCTCAGGACTCTCTCTCTCCCTCTCCCTTTGGCCGGCCCTCCCCCCTGCTCGCTACATAAATCTTTAAAAAAAAATAAAATAGCATTCTAAAACCTGCCACCCCTCTGAGCAAGTGAGACTTGGTTTATCTGGGCCTGGCCCCACTGGTTTTTTACCAAAGCTGACTCAACCCCAAGCCCAGGACTCGAGGGTCCCTCTTTGTGCCCTAATGGCTCCCAGTAAACACACTCCGCCCATGGCTGTGGGGGGCCTTACAGATCACACCAGGCCTTCAGAGTGCAGATGGCTCTGGGGACCATCCCTACTGTTGGCTAAGAGCCGCACTTCTAGTTTAGACTCCAGCAAAAAAAAAAAAAAAAAGAATTATAATCATTTATTTTTTTATTAACAAGCTTGTTATTCCATAGACTCGTCAAAAATATTTTGCAATGTGAATGCTCTCTGTAGGCTCAGCCCTGTCACCTGGATCAGGTGAATGAGAGGCTGTAAAGATCTCCACAGACCACGCCCAGGGGAACTGACCTCTCCCCGCAGCTGACAGGGCCGCACAGGACCCTCCCGTGCAAGCACTTGTGGTGCGGAGAGCACACAGAGTCCTCTGCGTGTGCCTTAGAGTCTCCTCCCCCGTCCTTTCCTGCTCTTTCTCCAGGTTGAACACGTCAGCCTGGAGAGCGTCGACATGGACAGCCCCATGAGAATGAAGTTCAACCTCTCTGGCCTTGGCTCGAAGGAGCACATCCTAGAACTCATGCCCGCCATCGAGCCCCTCAACAACCACATCCGCTATGTCATCTCTCAAGGGAACGACGAGGGCATCTTCCGCATCCACCAAAGAAACGGGCTCAGCTACTTGCACACGGCCAGGAGGAAGCTCGTGCCCGGCACATACACACTGGAAATCACTAGCATCCCTCTCTACAAGAAGAAGGAGCTTAAGAAACTGGAAGACCGCAACGAGGATGACTACCTCCTAGGGGAGCTCGGGGAGGCTCTCAGAATGAGGCTGCAGATTCAGCTCTATTAAGCCCTTACAGACTTGGTCCCGGGCTCCAGTCCCTGCACAACCAGCCCGCAGCAGCCTTGGAGAAATCAGTGACTAATTGCAAAGAGGGGAAAAAAAAAAAAAAAAAAGACAACTTTTGTTTCTTTCCTCCCTGTCTTCAGACTGCGGAATGTTGACCCTCACAGGGAGGGGTAATTGAGACTCTGGTGTGGCCAAAGATTTGAGTACAAAGGCAACCGTGGTTACTGTATTTTTTTTTATATAACTTCACTTTAAAATATATTAAAAGAAAACTAAAACTAAATGTTCAAGAGATCAGCATATGGCACTAAATGCACAAAAATAATGTGAGCTTTTTTTTTTTCTGTTAGCAGTCTGTAACACTTTGGGTATTTTGCTATAGTTGCTAATTAAAAAAAAATATAGATGTTTATTTATTTTTAATGCAGTAATATATGGAGAAATGAACAAACTATGTAAACAAAAAGGGAAACTCACTTGTTTTTCTTTAGATTTATAAATTTGAGCTTATTTCTTTTAGAGGTGCTTTTTAAAAATCCAGTAGATTCAAGAGAGGTTTCCTTTTGGTTTTCTGCCAGGGGTCCAACTGGTACCCATCTGATGATTTTTAAAGAAAGCCTCCCAGAGCTGTAAGGGCAGCGTAGTCAATAACTTAAAAGACGGCCGAGTCATTAGATCCTTCAGAAAGGAGCTCAAACCCAGAGCAGCTCGTGGTGACGAAGACGGTTCCCACCACCAGACACACCCGGCAACCACAGATGAAGCGTAACCACTGTAGCAAAATACCTTGACTGCTTGTTAGACCAGTAGCGTTGCAGGCCAAACCGTACTGTATTTCCTTCGTATAACCTCACGGAAGCACGCGTGCTCCCCACAACACCTCATTCCTACCCAGGGTGGGCCGCGCTCCTGGGGCCCCGGCGGCCGCCGAGGCGCGGCCCGGTCCTCTGCCAAGGAACGCCTGGCGTTCTGTAGTGTTTGGTGCTGTCTTAGATTAATGGTGCATTTATTATGTTCAAGCTGTTTCAGGATTGCCATATGTGCAAACAAATCATGCAGGGCAGCCGAGGAATATATGTTGTTGTCGTTGTTGTTGTTTTTTTAAATCCATTTTTTTTTTAGAATTTTCATTAATACTGTAGTTATACACCATATGCCTCGTTTTATCATAGCCTATTGTGTATGAGAGATGTTTGTACAATGAACTGATGTTTAGTTTGCTTTAGTCATTTAAAAAGATTCTGTACCAGGACGTGCTGATAGACGGACGGCCCCGCGTACTTCTCAACCCAAGAACCTGTCCCTGGACCAGTGACCAAACCTCATCTGTGAAATGGCCCAAGCACATGCAGGCTCAGGGTTGTTCCTCTCACACCTGTGCTGACCAAAGATTCATAACCAATTATATCCAGTTGGGGGTTTTGTTTTGTTTTAATACCTTAAAAAAAAGAAACAGTGTAAATTTGTAATCAAGTGTTTGTGAGGAAAAACTTATGGTTTTTGGTTTTGTTTTTGTAGGTCCCTGTATCAAATATGACACTTTTCTTGCAATAAAGCTTATTTTGGGGTAGTTGGCTGGCTGAGAGTTTGATGAGACTACAACCTCCGCCGAGTGGGTGGGAGGCGCTGGGGGCTTTGCCTCCCGAGACCCGTCTGAAAGTGCCAGAAGGAGAGCCAGGCCCGGTTACAGGAAAACGAGAGAATGCTGTCCAGTCTGTGACACAGGAGTGTTCGGGTGACAATGACAATGTAAAGTCCTCTTCAAGTAGAAGGACAGAATGAAGGCAGTAGGTCATTCCCTTCCCCACAGATTCTAGGTCGCCTCGGAGCCCCCCATGAGAATCTCTTCGTGTCATCCCCACGCAGGCTCTGAGGACCTCTGTGTTAAAGTACCTCTGAGGCTTTCTTCTTTAAGGCCTTTCCTGACCTTGAGCTTTTAGGCAACAGTGCACGCTGAGCATCCCCCGGGCCAAACGCTGTCTCCCCAGCCAGAAGAATCCGAAGCTTCCTCTCTTAGAGTGCTACAGACTTCCCTCAGTGGGTAAGTGGCCAGACGCAACAAGTCACCTAACTGAAACCTTTTTTTTTTTTTTTTTTCCCTTCTGATACACTGTTGAAACGAGCACGGAAATGTCTTAGAAGTCAATTCAGGGCAAAGTTTGAGAATCCGTGTGCTCAACTTTCTCATCCGAGGGATGAGAAAACAAGGACGTATGACTGATCCTGACGCTGCGCTCTGCCTACCAGCAAGGAAAGTACTTGCCTCGGGGCATGCTTTCTGTCTGCACTGCACGCCGAGTGTCATCGGCCATCTGTTACTGCGACAGCAGGAGCGCTCATTATGTGAAATCACCTGGAACCAAATTCCACTCTAACTTTGAACTGTGAGCCACAACGCTCTTAAGTTTACCTAAAATAACCTGCTCTTAAAGGAAGTTTGAGAATCCACACCGTCAGGCACTTTACACGGAAAAGATAAAAGACCATTCAGGGCTTTCCACAGAACATACTGGAAAGAAATGACTACCTCAAGACACTCTTAGAAGAACCTTCTCAGGCACCTCTGGCTGCCTTACTGCAATTCTCTCACCCTGAGCACTGACACAGCCATGATTAATTTGTGTCTCTGGTTACTAACTGCTAATGACATTTTTTTTTTTTTATCATTTTTGTCATTCTCATAAAATGTCCCCTCAGAAATTAATTTGGCTAAGTTACACAAAAATAAGCCCAGATACAGATACCAAATCCAGTGGGTACCTGTATTAGTAATAATAAGCAATAATCTGGTCTTCAGATGACATGAATTCTCTTTCCATTACCATTTAGACTTGGACTTTTTTAAAATTTTAGTTCTACTTAATACCTGTGGTAGATGAAAGTTGATGGTCATGTTTGCACATGAACAATGAAAATAATCCAGGGATTTTACTCTAAATTCAAACACCTGCCCTTTTTACACTATCAAGGAATATCAAACAGGATCATTCATTACAGTCTGTCCCTTCTCAATAACCCGAGGTTTTATTTTGCATTCACTGCTTTCTTGGTTCACAAAATAAATGCTTGGGGTGGTGGGTGGAAAATACAGCTAAAATGACAGAGCATCAATCTATCTGAGTCCTACAAACCTTTACATTCCTATCCTTAGTGCTTCAAGGAAAACAGGTCAATTCAGATGTTAAAATGAACCATGAGGAACTGCCGACCTTTTGCCATGTTTGACCTACAGAATGGCAATTTCGTACGGTTCAGTTTAATGGTACAGAAATATTCATGCTCCTCTAGAATAAACTGGAAATTTTTAAACATTTCCCGTCTCTCTGAAAGACAACCAACCCCATTCACTCCGTTCCATGCGGCCTGTGGCTCATTTGTACCCCTGATTTACGGTAGTCCACAAGAGAATATACATAATTTATTCAAATAGCCACTTTCTTTCATGCTCCAAAGAACTTTGGACAGAGTCTAAATCACACATCTCTGGGGACTTGTGGCAATTACTGGAAGCTGTCTAAAGACAAAGACAAATCCACTGGGAAAGACGGAAACATAGCACCATGTTTAAAAAAAAAAGGGTAACTTCAGGCATCTTTACTTCTGGAGAGACAGGGGAAACATGGAGACTCATTAACACCGCCCAGAAAGGGAGTGGGACAGCCCTGTTTGCAATCTCAGCCAGCCTGCTTTTGATACCTCGCTTCTGGTTTGTTGTTGTTTTTTTTAAACCATGATTGCTCTCAAATAAATACAGAGCTATGGTTTTCTTGCTTAATAAGAAGTATGTATTTCTGACCCAAATTCTCCTTGAAAATCCCTTCAGCAATGCAGAACAGTGGGGTCCTAAAATACAATGTACATACAGCTCATTAAATTCAGCGCATCGACAACTAAGGCAGAATCACCTTGCAGGTAAAAGAAAGAAACCTTCACATCAGACTGACCCGAGTTTGGCACATGGGTTGGGGCAGGCTCACTTGGCTCCCCTGGATCTGAAGCCCCCTCTGAGATCCTATCCACCCACTCTGGGATGCACTGGTGGGTAGAAATCCCCCCAGGTGTCCTGGTGTAAGGTGCAAGTAGTAAATAAAAGGGGAGAAGACCTGATGCTGACGTCACTCAGCACACCAGTGTTGGATTCCTTCTCCTCTGACAAGCTACCTAACCTCCCTGAGCCTTGGGTTCTTACCTAGGGTGAGGTTTCCCTAGCACATGGCTGAGAGGACTGAGTGAGACAGGACAGGCTGCGTGGTCAACATCGGGCCCAGCCGACGGCCCACACTTAGTAAGCTCGTCCTCTTCCTCCTGCTGTGACCAAAGCCACTAGCAGGAGAATGTGCCCCCATATTCACACAAAGCGCCTTCCTAAGCAGGGCCCTGAAACTTGGGCCTTCCCACAGACTTGTAGGACCACATCCAGATAAAGAGCATCCCGGCCATGTCTCCAAAATGGTCTGCACCTCTAGGGAATCTTTGGCAGTCCCGGCGTGCTCACGAGCGTCTACAATGTCCACCCTGCTCCTTGCTTTCTGGAGTCGTGGGCTACAGCCCTGGAAGCCTGGGCCACAGACACAGCCAGAGTTCTCCCATCTACAGAGCCCTAGGAAACCAGACACGAAAGACAACACGGACATAGGATAATCCTTTGTAGGATGATTTAGTGTCATGGAATATCAGGGCTAGAAAGCCCTTTAGAAGCCTCCTCATGTTACCCGTGGGGCAACTGAGACCCAGAGCTGTAACCCAGCTAATTGCATTGCTTGTTTCCGTGGAGGTGAGACCAGAGCCCTGGCTGCCCGCTTGTCATCTGGTGCTATTCATATTTCCACGACATGGTAAGCCTATTTGGATCTCTTTTAAACCCTGAGGATATAGTCCAGTTCCCATGGTTTTGGCTCACACTGAATCCACAAATGTTTTCCAAGCACGATTCCAGCACTAGTTTGTGTTTTGTCTGCCCTACCCTCGGTGTGACTGCTCCCAGCCTCCTGTAGACCAGAGATCTGTGTGCACACGGGAACGCCAAGACACCGGCCTGCCACAGAGTCGCACCCCACCCCCCCAACCAGGTACGTCTTTAAAAGCCCTCGACAGCCCAGGCTTTCAAAGGGTTAAACATGTCATTTAAACCAGGCCTCCAAAACTTTGAAAACAAATACACATTTGTTTTACGAAGTGTGCCTAAAGAAAGCACACTGGTTGCTTGTGTTACTTAATTGTCATTTTCCCCCCTTTTTCCTGTGAGCCTAAAAAAGATATTACTAGATTAAGTTGGCTTACTTTTGAAATAGCCAACAACCAACAGCTCCCATTAGTCACCCCCGTTAGGGCTGCAGATTAAATGTCAGGATGTAGTGTAGACATTTTCCAAAGGAAAACAGGAAAACGCTTTACATGATTTTTAGAGCAAGCCATAGGGGAAAGTGAACATTAATAGCCTTCCCCAGACAACCACTGTTCCATGAGTGAGTTGCATTAATGAAATAGCGGTATATGCTGGGACCGGCCGACTCCTGAAAAAGTGTCAGAAAAGCAACCCTGGGGTGGGGCCTGCTTAAGCCTCCGTGGTTTCTGCTCCCGGGTTTACCCCTTTCCTTCCACTCGGCTGGACCCGGGCACTCCTGTGCCACTGGGAAGCCTGTCTGTGCAGTGGTGGATTTAGAGCCTCAGGCCTGTGCGTTTGTGGGTATGGGACCTGAGGCAGGGGCCTAGGACCCATGACCCTGTACCAGCACCTGGAATGAGCCTACATCTTAGTTAACTCACATTCTGGTTCGATCACAGAGCCAAGAACTGTGCTTGAACAATGAAGGGAAGCAGAGGACTCTAAGACTCTCCAGAGTCTACCACCTTCGGTAGTAACGAGCCAGCACGGACCGTGATGAACCACCCCGGGGGAACTGGACCCTGTCCAAGGAGTGGGTGGTTTCACGGTACTGATGTTACTGGAAATCTTGAACACATTTCTGGGGATCATTCTGGAAGGATCTTCCCATCATTTTGGAGGGCTTTCTTGATTTATGTTGCTTTTTTTTTGCAACTTTCTAGGAAGCCTCATGGATCTCACCCAGGATGAGAGCCAAATGAAAGGCTCTTTGGGAAGGCTGACCTGTAATCTGGATTTTTCACATGAGGGGATCCTCATCCAAACCTGGACCAGCTACCATTTTGTAGTGTTGTGCGTGGGAGAAAAAGCCCGATACATTCTCTTCTCACAGAATGCTTACACAGTTCTTAGTTTTGAAACAAATTAACTACATGAATATTTGTTGGACACATATTACCCTGTCCTAAAGGGATTTTGCCCTCAAAAGTTGACGGTCAATTCAGAGAAACAAGATAAGCAGACAAGATTATAAAATGGTACGAGCGGCTGCCTTCGGCTCAGGTCATGATCAAGTGGTCCTGTGATCGAGTCCCGCATCGGGCTCCCTGCTCTGCGGGGAGCCTGCTTCTCCCTCTCCTCCCTACTTGTGCTCTCTCTCTCACTATCTCTGTCTCTCTCTCTCAAATAAATAAAAAATCTAAAAAAAAAAATTAAAAAAAAAATGGTACACGGTTAAGGGCCGTAGTGA